ACACTCTAGTTTGAGGAAAGACTCAAAATTGTTGGTGAAGAAATGTTGGACAATGGCTTGGAATCTCTATTTCCAGAACACTGGATATTGCAATCCTTTCTAAGCAAAGAAATGCTAGACTGAGAAATATAAGTTGAAACATCACCGAACCCAGCTCAGTATACGCACATGCGGACTCGCAAGTATTTCATCAAACATGTAAAATGATAGGCGCTTTAACACCAGGGGTCTGTCCAGACATTTTGTGAAAGGTCCTGTTTTTGTAAAATTGTGAAAAAACTACTCATAATTTGTGAAAATAAAATAAGCGTTAAGTCACATTTTTTCAACCAGGGTCCTGTTATTGCAAAAAACGATGTTTGTAAAAATAGAAATATTTTCTTAGAATATTACATTTGGAATTTAAACTTAGGAAACTTAGTTCGTTTCGAACCGTCTTTCCCCCCTCCCCCCGGGAAGGGTTTACTCGATTAACAAAACAATATTGAAGATAAATTTGTGAAGGGTCAGATTAGAAGATATATTATTTTGTGAAGGGTCAGTTTTTATGAAAAGATATTTCGTAAAGGGTCCGTTAACGCAAATTTCTTCTAATCAGACCCCTGAATACGCTACGAACCGACGGTAAGCCGAAATGCATTGTGTTTGAATGAATTGTGAAAACGTTGAATAGAACAATGCTAAAACTTCGCTTTTACATAATACGTGGCAAAGATCGACATGGTAGAGAAAAAAAATCTAATTTTCGAAAGAGAAAATGAAGCACTTTTTAAAAACACCTTTAAGGGCTTTTAAAAAATGAAAATCGAAATAACCACCTTTAATCACTTTTTAAAAACGCTACGCACCATGCTAATAATAACAATTGCTAAAGTAACATTGTGTTTACAGAGGAAAGTACAGAATAAAACGTATAAAAATTTTAACTATAGGAGTAATATTATTTTAATTCTAATATTATAGGCGCTTTCTCGCATTTTGTATTCGGAAAAATGAACTAATTATTTCTCTTTCTAATGTTGAAAATCATTACAAAAATTAAAATTTGCAAATAAATTAAAATTGGTACATAAATAAAAAAGTCGCAAATCCGTTCAGTAACTCCAAATTAAAGACAAAATCAAGCGAATAAGACTCTTTAAACAAACAGATACTCAAATAAGAAAAAGAAAAAAATGAAAGAGAACTCTTTAAAGAAAAAAAAAACGTGAAAGAAAGAACATCATTTCTAGAGCGAATTATCTGTTAAAACTTTCGCGATTTCTTAATTTTCTTATTTTATATTCTAGCTGAAGCCAGTTATTACGAACTTTTTTTTCAATCCAAAATGAGAATAGAAAAATCACGATTATTTCTTTCCCCCTCTAAGATACACAAGAAATAAATCTTTAAAAAAATATTCTGCAGGAAGAAAAAAAAAATTTTTTTTCGAAAAATTATGTAGAAAGAACGTTCTGCGACAATGTCGCTTCAATTCTGCCACGGGCACTTGCATTAAAAATAGATTTAGAGACAGGATGTGAATTTTAAAGTGTGAGAAAGAACGTTTCGTTTTGAATAACAAATTAAGATAAGGATTCACAGAAAAACATAAAAAGATTAGTTGAAGCTTTTTATGTTACGTAAAATTACGTATCTGTTATATCAGGGTGCGTAGTCAAATTTTTCAACAAAAAATAAGCACCTTTTAAGTACTTTTCAAGCACTCAAAAAATATTTTTTTAGCACTTTGAAAAAAGATCATAATTAGACAGGGTTGGCAAGTTTTTGACAATTGATGGTTTTATCCGGTTTTTTTGCTTGCCAGTGACGTAGACGATGGCGCATCACCAACGATTAAATTAAAAGAGAGAAATGAAATTTTCTATGGCTATTAGAAAGAAAAAAAATTGACAGTGTTTAGTTGGCCTCCGTAATCAGCAAAAATTCGAGAGATTTTTTGATTTTATTACAGAGGGCGGAAAATAAAGTCTGAAATTGAGAATCTCTTGCAAAATGCAGCAGAGTTGCACATGAGAGACAAAAAACCTTACCACTGATTCCAGCTCAGTATACGCAAGTGCGGACCCTCAAGTATTTCATCAAACATCTAAAACAAATGGTGTTTTCAAACACTACAGACCGACGGTACGCCGAAATAGATTGGGGTTGAATAAATTGTGAAAGCGTTGAATAGGACAATGTCTTTTCGCATAATTTGTGGCGAACATCAACATGGTAAAGAAAAATATCACATTTCGGAAAGAGGAAAATTAAGCACTTTTGAAAAACATCCATGGAAAAAAGCATCTTTAAGGGCTTTTAAAAAACGAAAATAAGCACCTTTAAGCACTTTTTAAAACGCAACGCACCCTGTTATATAAATTATTAGCTTAGTTTTTTTTAATACTTCCTCTCTTTATTCCTTGTTTTTTTTCAGTCAATGTTCATACAGATATTTCGGATCATTTCTTGGATGGGAATCCGCGGCCCCTTTTGAGGAATTGATCTAGTCGCTTATTGTTTCGTTGTGTCAATACAATGTTTTGCGCAGGCACTATAAAATTTTGTTACGTTGACTAAACAATTGGAGACGATTATGTATCTAACTAAATAAGTAGGGAATAAAGAGAACAAAAGAAACTTTGGTAATAATAATACTAAATAAGAAAAAGAAAATCTTTTTTTTCCTCTCAATTATATATTTGTAAATTTTACTTCAAAAAAATATATAAATAATTTACATTTATATGGCAATATGTATGAATAAAGGAGGTATATTGTACTATACCATTCTTGATGGTACATAATTAATTAAAATGAGCACAAATCTTGAAATCAACTGAATCAGATGATAATGAGTATCGATACTAAATCATAAATACTAAAAATAATCGAAATTAAATATATATATTTAGAGCAAATAAGGAATAGTTTTTAATGTATAAAATTAAATGAGTTCATTTATACTAAAATAAGTTAAATGATATTTTGTCATTTCTTGAAACAAAAATTTTAATTAGTACTGAATGAGTAAAAAAATTAAAAAAAAACACACTCTTAATTACTAGAACTTTATAATAGTTCAGTCATTCTGCTGATCTTTTTCACATCTGCTTCGGTAATTGCACACGATGTTCAGGTGTGCAGGTTAAGTAATGAAGCAAAACAAAAATTCATTAATATCAGCTCAAGAGAGGTTGAGAATTTGGACTTGCCATCCAACGCTTGCAAAAGAACATCCTGCCAAAATTGTGTAGTGTCGTCGAGGTCTTTACTACTTCAACAGGACGAAACATTTAGATCTCCAACTCAATTCATGGATAGACCTACAACCAATAGAGGTAATATGTCCTCTTTCTATTGTTCAGAAACTGACATAAACAGAGGTGACGCAATGGACTTCCTTAGTGACTGGGCACAAAATTGTACTGGAACAGCTGAAATTTGTTCTGTATATCTTTGCAACAATAAAGCTTCTTGCAAATGTGATATAAAAAAGTCAAATACGAACTCCTTCATTTTGAAGCCAATCGCTGGGTTTCAAATACTATCATAATTTCTTTCGATATATGTTTATTTCGGAAACCTAACGCTGGGTGCATATCAGGACAACTTCTGGAATTTGAAAGTCCTCTCGGTACAACACAACCTAACATTAGCATTTTTCTGACTCCCTTGTTGGAAATCCATCAGAGGCTCATCTGACGCCAACCAGCCCTCAACTTGTTCCTATGGGTAGTTTGGAGGGTCAGATACAGGCCAACGTAAGCTTCACCAAAAGTTTCATATTTGATCCCGACATCACTAAGTGTGATTTCTTCGAAACAACCTTGAGATGTACAATGAAACCAGATAGCCGTACACTCGAAGGAATCAGCTCGAAGGAAAAAGTTGGTTTAATTGTAAATGCTAAAATGGTTTAATTATAACTAAAATATTATTTGTTTAAATTTAAGACGAGTAAATTTTCTTTATTTAATTTAATTACAATAACTATACGATACAGCTTAAAAGAGCCACATTAACGATTTTAAAAAAATTTCATGTTCAACATCTCAAAAATGATTTAGATTCAACTTGTGTCTTTGAAGACGTTTGTTCAAAACATTAGAAACTACAAAATTTTAAATTTTAGACATTAGTTTACCTAACAAATATTTTCAACATAACTAAATATTTTAAAACCCATGTATTACCTTAACTCATAGTTATACTGAGTACTTTAGATGAAAGATATATAAAAGAGAAGAAGTGCAGCTCCTTGAACTAATGTAACTAACAAGTTGAACTGCTCGGTGCGGTACGCTATACCAGAAAAACTTAGAAGGGCGAGTAACATACTCAGATATAGCAGAGCATCATATGTACTAAGATACAACTCATAAAAGACAAAGTAATAGTCAGTAGGTATGTCACCTGTGAACCGGTTGTTGGACAACTAAACACGCATGGTTAAGTACACTGTCTCCAGCCAATTTATTATTTCTTTCTATCTCAAAATATGTTAGCAGATTTAATCAAAATGGACCATATAAATGCAGTACGAAAAAAATATCTTAATTAACAGTACAGCACTGTTTATAAATAGAGGAAAAATGCAGAACAAACTATCAATAAATAAAAAGAGCAAACTTTTCATCTCCACCCCAAACCCAGTAGTGGTTGGGGGGGAGAGGAGAATGAAAACAAATTTCAAAAATCTCTGCAGGGCCCCAAAATGTTTTTTTTTTATACACAGGGACCACACTAAGCTCCGCAGCAGGGGGGGAGTTCTGGTTTACATTATCTCTATCGAAGGTAGCTTTCTTCCCCGATATATATTCTTTGTTTTAGTTAAGTGAGCACTGTGTCAGTGAAAAAAAACAAAACAAAAAAAACAGGCAATAGAATAGAAGACTAAGAAAATACCTATATTGACATTCTTCTTATAGTACGAGATGGAACTAACTCAGTTATAGATGTAAAAATAGAAATTTTACGAGAACACGACATTTAAAAAGCAAATAAAAATCATGATACATTATTGATCAAGTTTAATCAAACTATGAAAACTGTGTAATATAGGCATAAAATATATTTTTATTTTTACCTTAAAAACACACATTATGAATAAATATGCATAGAAATTTACATAAATTATAAACTTTTCAAAAAGTAACAGATACACATACATTTTTAGCTCTTTCATTTAAAATCATTTTGAAAAGGCTGATCTTTTAACAAAACCAGAAAGAGGAGGGGGGCCAAGAGGCTGCACAGGGGGTGTCGGTTCAGAATAATTTGCACTTTTAAAAGTAGAAGTCATATTAGATGAAGCAGAAGTAAGGTTAGAATAATTATCACCTTCAGCTGTAGGTACTACATTAGATGAAACATTAATATTTACATTACTGGTAGTGTCTGAAGGTAGTGAATGATCCTTATTCGGTAAGGCTGATGGATATAATGTATTCTCTAAAATCTCTCTAGGAAATGGATTATAAGTTTGAACAGGTGGCAAGCTTTCTGGACCACTTTCCGTTATAAAACTTTCACCGAGGGGAGAAACTTTAATTCCTTGAATAGCATATATTTCTTGCAAAATCATTAAAACAGTATCTTCTGAGTCCCTGTAAAATACAAATAAAGAAACCTTTTTAGATTAAATTAATTACTTATGAAATAATTCAATAAAACCTAATATTATTGGAAATAAAGCTTTTAAGCATGAAAGATTCTTAACAGTATGAAATACCAAAACACACACATTTATTCTACAAAGCACAATGCCCATTTTCTTTTTACTAGTGATGAAGTTCATTTCTTGCAACTGATTCTATGTTTAGCATGTATAATCTCGTGAATAAGCGGGGTTCTATTATAAATATTTTTACTCTATAATCTCCATAAAATATACGATATATATTTCTTAACCGAGAATGAGTCCGAGAGCTGAAAATATTTAATGGAATATTTTAGGATAAGAAAGAATATAAAATTATTTTTCTGCTTTTAATATAACTTTTAAAATCATTTAAATTCTGTACAGTCAAATTAATGCCAAAGATCATTTCTCAAAAGTAAAAATTTATTGATTGATTTCATTTTAAACTTTTAGAACCTTTTAAAAAACATGTTCATAATATTATTAAAAAATAAAATTGCGAAATAAGGAAGATTAAGACAAATTTTTTTTAATATTATTCTTTAATATTTAATTTAAATAACAGCACACATTTCCAACCTAAATACTATCTCATAAAATTTATTGACTAACAAAAAAAAAAAAAATTCTGTTTTAAAAATTTTATGCAACCTCTGAAGATAATAAAATAATATGGCTTTAATGAGAAAAAAAGGTTTAAGGAGATAAAAATATTATAGAAATTGTAGATATTAACGTTTTTCCTTCCTACTAGGGGTAATTGTACCAGTCCCTCTCTTACTGTGCCACTGAATAAACTTTAAACATCACACACAAATCTCTTAAATAAATAAAGAAATAACACCATGATTTTTATTCTATGACCTACATAAATAGCAAGTTGTAAAGTGTTTATTAATGCTGAAATGTGGTTGATGCTCCAATCTTTTTGTAAGAAAGTATAGCATTGTCAGTAGAAACCTGCATATGTATGTAACTATTAAATTTATAAGGATACACACAAACTTTGTAATTTTTTTAAAGAAACAATACAGGAACCAATCATATTTTTCATGCTTGAAAAATTCCCTATCTCAGTCTGTTGTTGTTTTTTAAAATGAAAGCAAATTGCAAGATATTCAAATTAGGAATTATTTTTATTCCCATTAGATAATTGGGTATAAATTAAAATTGGCTTAATCCATATTTTACAGTTCATTAACTGAGGGAAAAAAAGAAGTATATACTAGTAAGAAAACAAAAACTGTTTTTAATTCTAATCCCGAACTTAGATCTACCAAAAGCATATGAAGATGTAATTACATAAATTTTAAATTTTGCAAAGATTTAATTAGGACACGTGGGACAACATTTTTAATGTTAACCATTTTGAATTGAGCAGAAAAACAATTTAAAACATTTTTCACTCCACTCAATTATAATAATCTCAGGGAAAAAAAATCAGGTAGAATTTTTCTTAAACTGCATTCTGAAATTGCAGTAGCTTATTTTATTATTCCCCAAGCAAATTTTCAGTTTATCAAGTGTATTTTCAATTAAATTCTGGAAAATATAAATTTGGAAAACATAATATTATTATAGTAATGTTTAATAGTTCCTTAATGATATAAATAAAGTAATAGTTTCTTTGAAGATTTCCGAAATTGTATGAACTTGCTAGAGGGCTCCATCCCCTGCTCACCTACACTTGCTATTCCTCAATAATTGCTACAGAATTATTTTTGTTTGCCTTGCAAGCAAATTTAATTTCAATTAAATATTTCAATTCAATTAAATTCATACATTGAAAATTCTGCTTTAATGGGAAAAATGTAAGATACTTATTTAAATAGAAAAAAAAAACATTACAAAGACAAGTATCTAAAAACATAGCATGGTGAGTGAACTATAACAAATGCTTTCATTAATAATTCTTCTAAAATTAGAAAATAGCAAGTAAGTAATATACATATTTTCAAGGTCAAAAACCTAATAATGAAATAATTCAAAGAATACAATTAGTATTTAAGAGCATACATTATGAATGAACTTTAACAAACGTTTTAAAGTTATAAAATTTTTTTATAGACCACATTTTTCAATGCCACTTTTTCAGAATCATTTTGCGCACCTATTATCTTAACTTTTGAACCTGATTTTGTAGGGCATCTAGATAGAGCCACAAATAATTGCCAATGGCCAAAATGAGTCTACTTTGATCGATAAAAATACCAACTTTACTAAAGGTTGGACCCTTTCATTTATCAATGGTCATAACAAATGCCAAGCAAACAGGAAACTGTGTTTGATGAAGGACAAAGGGAAATTCTTTACTGTTCTTAGTGTTGAATGTTACTCTTGAGATGCACAGCGTTCCCAGCTCTATCACCAGTCGTGATGGTACAAAATAAAACTAATCTAGTAATTTATTTTACAATTAGTCTTGTGCTATTACACAAACCATATGCTATGCACAAATTTCTCACTAACATCACAATTGCACCTTCTTTGAGGCACAGTTTATGCAGTGGTAGTCCAGTTACAGTTATTCTTGAAAGATACTCTGGTTGATATCTTAACAAAATTGCTTCATCATCAGGGTCCTCCCTGTCCAAAGATCTTGCTTAGTCAAAAGAATAACATTCAACTATCTCACCCAGCAATCTGTTCAGAACAGACATATTCAAATGATTTACCAGATTGTCAAGGGCAGCTAACAAAACACCTTCTCTAACTGCATCAGCATTAACTTGACAACCAAAAATGATTAAATCCTCACAGAGAGAAATTCACACAATCCAGCTCACCATTCCCAATAATCAATCTTCAAATGTTTGGGCTGTTGCTCACATGTTCCATGTAAGATTGAAATGATTAATAAAAAGACCACTATCCAAGAGATTTTACAGTACCACATATAATTTGATATTTCCCAGTACGTTTAAAAATAGGTAGAATTTATCTAATATCTACTCCAAATAAAACACATTTTCCAACAAATGGAAGATCAGATTTCCGCAATCTCAGTGAGTGAACTTTATCAGGCTTAAAGTAACAGAAGGGTCTCATGAAAGCCAAATAATGAAATGTGTTTCAACTATACTTTTCATTGTTTTCTATCTAAATAGAGAGGAACCAGTTGCTCAGCAACAGGCATTTTAATGGGTAGCCTGAAAACCCTATGAGCAGTTCAAATAGTATAGTTCTATCCCTGTCTAAGCAACACATAATATGTTCTTGTCTCTAAGCTGCTGCTGATGGTATAAGCATTCGTAAAGAGAAGTCTTTCCGGTCCCTCCAGGTACGTCAATGAAAAAAATTTTTTTTTGAGAGTCAGGAAAATTGAGCCAAGACACAATAATGCACATTGTTGTTCATATTTTGAGCTATTGATTATTGTTCATTTGGAGAAAAGTTGGCATTTCAACTTGGAATGAAAGAAGGCCAAAATCAGTTAGGTTCTTGTAAGCATGAATGTTTATCTGTCCCCTCACACATTTTGGGTAAAAAAATTATCCCAGAAATATTTACCATTAACATGAGTGCATGTCAATAAAAGATGTGGAAAACATATTCACAATTGCTTAGACATCCTGAAATGACAAACTTCATCTAAACTTTTCTCAACTTTATAATTTTTTCCGCATATATCCGTTACGTTAGCATATGAAAATTTCTTTCACGCACACAACCGTAGAAATAACATGGAGTAGCTTGTCCATGTGGCCCATGAAGCATGTGCTTCATGACTTTTCCATGCCAATTAAAAAAAATTGCTTAGTGTGGAATCTCAGTACGGAAGAATTTATCACCAGACTCTGATGTAAGTAGTTTGTCTCAAGGATTTCAGATGAAGACAGTGAGCATGGAGTAAACCTCTCTTTTGAAATTCAATATTATGCGTATATATCCCATTATTTTACCAAAACAACACTCCAGAAAAATGTCTTTCATAAATGCGTCAAGGAGCGTTCACCTACCAATGAGGTGAACCAGGTTCGAATCCCAGCGATGGCTGGTCAATATGAATTCCGCGTCCGGCTTGCAACGACCATAGTGCTGATGTAAAATATCTTCAATGGTAGATGGATCATGGGTTAGAGTCCCTTTGCTGTCAGGCTAACCATGGAAGGTTTTCCTCTCCATGTAATACAAATGCAGGTTAGTTCCATCAAAAAGTCACCCACGAAGGCAAATTTCTCCCAATACTTAATCCAGGAGTTCCCTTGTCTTCTAGATTGGGTTCAAAATTACAACACTATAGAGTTGAACATTGATAGTCGTAAGACCAAAGAATTGGGTAGACTGTCAGACGGTTATAAAATAAAATATTAATGTGTCAATTCGGAGAACAAAAGCATGAACAACTATAGGGGGAATGTCACTGGCAATATAGCCTCAGGGAAGTGTCGTAAGAAACAACTGTAGTTCAGCCCATTGAGAATTGGCAGTTAATTTTATAAATAAATCTGGGTGTCCATTTTCTTAGGATAAAGCCATGGCATCTTGAAAATATTTGCATTGAGCAAGGACTTTCTTCAAGTGTTAATTGTAGTACCATAACTTTACCATGTCTTATATAATCAGATGTGTTCGCAGCACTACACTCGATGTGATCAATTAATCCTTGTACACTTTCTTGGGAAACTGGTCCTGATGTGCGCAAACATAATGTAGATGATTTCACTCATTTATTATATACCCATGAATTACATATTGCTGTGATAATCTACCTGCTATAGTAAAGATGTTAAAATCATGGGTGACACGCAACTGCAATCCAAATGCTGCACTACTGTTATTTTTTGGGAAGAAGAAACATTGTTATGCATATTTACAGAATAGCTAGGATTCCCTGACGGAAAGAGTAGTGGGAAAACCATAGGATGTAATAATTTGTATAATTTTTGACACTCATGGTGATGCTTGGGACACATAATAAAATCTACTGAAGATGGAATACAACCATCACTGCCAGTTTTACTGCAGCTAATTCAGCAGTTACACTTTCAGTTGGTAAGTTATTATATGACTGGATATTTTGACAAAAATGTAATGCATCAGAAGTATTACCTAACAGTATTTCTTTTAGTGCTTTAGGATAACGAGGAGATGGATTAGGCTTAATTTTACCCTGATGACAATAATTATGTTTCACTTTGCAATGTTCATTTTGAAATGATAAAGCATCACAGTGATTACATTTCACTGTCGTGCCACCAATTAAGAATGGTGGGCAATCGTCACTATGACATTAACCAAGATACTAACACTCGTTTAATTCCGTATGGTGATTTATCCGAGATGTTAGAGTTCTTCTACGGCGATCACTAATAAGTTGCCTGCGCTGCTCAGTACTTGCATTATTTGTTTAACTTCACCGTGAAACAGTATTTTTAGCTTCCCTGCCCCTATCATTGATGCATTGTCTGTTACCTTCATAATATCTTCTGTTTTTCACATAAATTCTTCTATGTCCATACGCAGTAACACCGCAGCGACTGTGCTGAGTATGATTGTCATTTTTCACTAAAGAGGACAATAAATAACAAAGTGAAAAATAATAACAAAATGAATAATTATAACTTCAACAAAACAATCAAAATTCAATAAATAATAAGATAATATAGCTGGATTAAGATGTGTTTTGCATGTAAACAAAGATCTGAAAAGGATAGAGTGTAGTCAAGTTGTAGTCACAAAATGCGAAATCAAATTAAAAACGATATTATTGGTTGAATTCAGTCGTTGGATACACATAAATATCTGATTAGTTGTTTGGGGTATTGATCAAGTGATACACTTTTTTCTCATTGGCTAAAAACCTTCAAAACAGTTTGACCACAATACGAGTCAACTATTTTTTTATGATACATAAAGAAATATATATAAATACATATATTACAAACCAATATGTTGCATGACTAGTAAGAGCCCACACATAGTCATTAAGAGCTTCTAGAGGTTTTTCCTGGAGAACATAATCTATTCTTCTTCCACCATTTAAATTTCCAATTGGTGAAACATGAGAAGTGCTTTCTACAAGAAGAAGTTTTTATCTTAGAAATAATCTGTAATCAATCAAATATGTTTGACATAAATCAAAAAGTTAAAGAAATGCAAACACAAAGATGAGGTTGAAGGGATTTGTTCTTGGCTTTTATCTGTTGATAAGATGGATTCAGTAATTAAATGTAGAGATAGGTGGCACAAGAGTTCACTAAAATGAAGAGGGGATAAATCTAAGCTATGCTCACATAAAAACCTTTAAAAGGGGGGTTGTAAGTTTACGCCCTGAGCGTAAGGTCGAGCAGTTTACAGTAGAACAGTTTAACAGTAAACAAGAAGGTTAAGATCAGGACAGAAGCTGCACACCCTTGGTCCTAACGTAAGTTGATCTAAGTGGTCACCCTACAGCTTACTGACCATAACCACTGAAGATTGACTTTGGTGTTCTACCGAGGATCATGACTTTACAATCAGTCCACTGTGGGACTTGGAAAATTTTGAATCACACTTTTGATGAACTGAATTTGCACACATTCTATTGTAAATCTAAGTTGCGTTTAAATTGCTTTTCCAGCGGTTATTGGGAGGGAGTTCCGCATGGTTTTAAAAATCCCCAATAATTTTAACATGCTACTGCGATACACAAATTTTAGTAATCACCTTTTGACTTCCTTTACTTTCATTGATTTCATCACAAATGCAAGTGACATTTCGAAAGTTCTTTTAATGGTTACACTTACCAATTTCTATGCAGTTTTTAAAATCCTGATACATTTAATATAATATTCTGACCCTTGAGTTATGATATATTCATTTAATTAATTACTTATTAATATGCTTTACTTCTGCTAATTTCATTGTAAATCCCAGGCCATTGTGGCTGTTTTTACCACATACTTCCACATAGTTTTGAAAATCTCGATATATTAAATACTAAAACTATTTTATATTCTTAAAACCCCATATAATTCAAAATATAGAAATAATATCTGAAGTATAGTACCAAATAAATATTGAATCTTAATTTGTACTATAATGGCATCAGTTTTTTCCTTTTTTAATGAATTTAAAGTACTACAGTATAACAATTAAAACTATAATATAATAATTAAAAGTAATATTAATTTTCTACTAATGTATTACTAAGTTTGCTGATAAAAAATTAGTGATTAGGGCAAAAATGTTTACATATAAGTTACCAATTTGCCATCAGTAAATATCAGTAAAGGGAAATAAAAAGACATTAAAATATTATTAATCTTGCGTCTGATATCACTAATCTGAAATAATTGCAGATTAATTATTTAATATAGGCAAAACTGTTAAGAGTGTGACAGACCTTCATGTTTGGAAAATAAGCAAATTCATGAATTGGGTTAAATTAAAAAATCTCAATAGTTGCTTTAACAGGGTTCCCACTCTTTTAACAAAGCAAAAATTAACGACCTTAAAAATAGTATGATTGTTTATCATTGAATATACATATACCACCAGTAGGACGGGGCGATATTAGAAATAATGCATCGTCAGTTTTGCATCGCGATATAACGATGTATCGCGAGATAGTATTTTTGAATTTCATTTACTGCACAGAAAGTCCGAATTCTATCAAAACTTCATACTCAGATTGATTTAAATCAATTTATAAATTTGAAGATAGATATGTTTTGCTTAAGACAGATATTAAATAAATTGACTACAATGTACAAATCTTACTTAAAATATTTATTGAAATGGTGGTTTAGAAATTCATAATACGCGTAAAACAAAGTGTTAAAAACTTTTTTTAAAGCGTTTTTTACAAATTAATATTTTCTTGTACTATTATGCATAAATAATTACATAATTATTAAGTTCGATCGTAATGTTCAATTTCTAAATGAAACGTTAAAAATTATTTGTATGTTTAAAACAAAGTGCTAAATAAATTTTAGAAAAAAAAAA